CTGTGTAACTCGAAGAATTACCGTGATAATCAGGAACCAACGGTTGATTAGCATGTGAAAAATTTTCAGGCTGCGCAAAGAACACAGTCCCTTCACTTGTATAAGAAACAAAAATATTCGTAGGAACAATCGGAGTTACTGCGAAAAAAACAGTTGTCGAAGGAACGTAGTGCTGATGAGTTGACATTAAAGGGGCAGCAACAGCTGGTCTCCACAAATTACTTTAAGGATTATAGTGGTCACTTGAAAAGTTATAACTACTAACGGGAACACCCATATGTTGTTGTGATGTGATTACAGGTGCTTGGTGGCCAGTCACTACTGATCCTGTAGTTTGATGACTTGAACAAACCTGATTAATTGCTGTTGATGCAGGAACGAACGGTGCTACACCAGAAGGAAATTCTGCAGATGTTGGTGGAGCAAAATAGTTTTCAGAAGTTACCGGGACTACTGACCCTGTGTTTGGATTGCCTAGCACCGGTTGAGTGGACAGAAAAGTTTGCTGAGGCAAATTATTAGAAACAGGTTGAATGACTTGCTGTAACCCTACGGGATTGTTAACGGAAACCTGCGATCGGACCAAATTCGACAAATTATGTTGTTGTTTGTGAATGTGGTTACTGTAATACAATCCCGGATCACCAAAAGTTGCCTGGCCATTATTCACTCCTGTAAAGCTTGATGAGACCAAGTAGTTTGTTGATGCAGGATAAGTTGCCTCAGGAGCTGTTGAACGAACGTGCTGCTCTTGATTGGGAACTACAACAGCATCAGGCTGATTGTGGTCGACAGATTCGACCCAGTGACGCGTACGATCCTTTTCGTCTATTTTTCCGACAACTCATCTTCTAACTCAAGCCCTTTCAACTCAATTTCTGCCAGTTTTTTCTTGTGTTCTTCAGCCAATTCTTCCAACTCTAAACTGCTTTGTTGTTCTAAAAAAAGTTGTTTCATTTTGTTTTGCTGCTCTTTCAGTCTCAATGATACCTTTGCCTGCCTCTCAAGTTCCTCTTGTTGTTTCTTTAAAATCATTAAAACGCGCTTTTTCTCAGAAAGTGTTTTCGACGGAGCGGCGGTATAACTAGATTTCTGAGAACCCGATTGCTGATGTCGGCTGCTTCGATGAGACAACTTAGAGCGGGTATCTGTTTTATGCGACTGGGGTTTTTCACTTTTTTCAGAATGATGAGAAACTTTTGAGCTGCTATTTTGTCCGGCTTTGTTACTGCCTCAAAATTTGTTTTATATGTGATAGCTTCCTGCAGAACTTTATCGTTGCTTTGAGTCAAATTATGAAGCCACATATCCTGTGCCGGTATCAATTCGTCGGGATTGGCACTTTTTGCAGCCATATCAATCAACTCATTATTTATCTCGACCGCTTGTTCTATATAGTTCCTACATTTTTCAATATAAGTATCAATTTTTGAGCAACGACTCTGATTCTTTATGTCTTCTAAAATTATTTCGTGGCATTTATAAAGTTCGTTTTCGAGATTGCTACGTTTCTCAAACAACTTCTTAATTTTCTTCTGAAACTTAACTTCCATGCTTAATAATTTCAGAAATAAACGACTCTCAGAAAATACTTTATTTTCACTCAAGTAAATCCACAAAATACTCTAATACATCAATAACTTACAAGGGGGAGTAACTTGAAGTTTTAACGCTTTAAGTCTGTTGTGAATCGCTCTACGATTTTTAGGCGACAAACGGTTCCGCTTCTTCTTAGCTTTCAGTGTACTTAGGTCAGCACTGTATCGTTTAAGTAACAACAGAGTCTTCAACTCAAGGGAAGGGGCTGATGCAGCTCTTTAAACGTTTCGAGTCTTTGGTCTTTGGCCTTTCGCTTTGAGATAAAATCCTCAACTATGTTAAGAACGAGAATAGCTGTCTTTTCCAACTCTTTTTCTATATTGTCCGTACCGTTGCGGCGACAGTATACAGTAGCGGTAACATTCTCCTTGTATCTCAAAAGAAGGCTCTTAAGTTGGTCAGTACTCAAACTACGGTTGTTGTTACTGCGGTGCTTACTAATGGAGTTATTTATGGCGTCGTGCCAAATAACTAGATCTTTCCGATTCGACAAAAAGTGGTGCAGATAGTATTGGATAGTTTTTTGCGAATCCCGGGCGTTGAAGTTAAAGCTTAAACCAGGCTTTGTGAAACAAGTCTCTTTCACGCGCTTTTGAGACGGTGCGGATAGTTTACGGAGCGCGTGATTCAAGGAACTAGCTCCTATAATTAATACCATACACTTAAGAGACCTATGCGCCGGCTACGTTACGCTTAAGTACCAATGGGGTGGGAAAATTAAGTAGGTCAGTTGAACTCCAACAACACACACGGAGTAAACCTGAGGATGAAAGAATTCAACTTAACTCACTTAATATCACCGTACCTGACCACTTAACATTAGTGTCGCGCAACGAAGTCAATACTCGGACGGGCTGAAACGGCTTATATTTACTTGAAGCGAACTGGCTTTCAGTTTCAACAATGTGGGTGGGGGATCAGGCAAATTGGTTAAGTTCCAACAACACACGCGGAAAAAAACCTGAGGATGAAAAAACTCAACTTAATTTGCCTGATATTTCGCTACCAGACCACTTACCATAAGGTTGGTGTCAAGTTACAGCTTAGTTTTGCAGAGTTATGGGGACGTTTTGAGGAATTGTTGGCAATTTTTTACTTTTTTCCCAAAATTTTTCGGAAAGTTTTGGTCAGCAGGTTCGAGTCGTAAACCAATCCAAGAAACTAGTCCAGTACCTCTTGTCTATGTTCCAATTTCATGGATTAACATTCCGTTCACAAATATCCAAAATTTTTTGTTTTCGAGAAAAAATGCCAAGTAAGTTGACTAAGTATCGATTGTAAGTTATTTCAGTTCGACAGAACTGCCCAAAAATTTTGAGTGTTGAGAAAAATTACCGGTTGCTAGTTTGCGGAAAATTTTTTAGCATATAGTACATCGTATAAAATTTTATAGCACAATTGGAGTTTTAAAAGTTTTGGACTCTTCTAACAGTTTTTAATTGGAGATTGGCGTCACCGGGAAAAATCCAAAAACTTCGGGTGTCGAGAAAAACACAGCTCCACTTTGACCAAAAGTCAACAATCAGGACACCTGAACAGGCCTCTCTTCCACCAGTCGGCTCTTTCGCCTGACTGCTCTGTCGTCTGTCGGCTCTTTTGGCTAATCGAATTTCGGCCAACTGAGCCCTGGGCGAATTTCGGCCAATTCTGCTAACTGCTCACTATGACGACTTTCGGCTATTTGGACACTCGATCAACTGGACACTCGACCAACTGGACACTCGGCTAACTGGACACTCGGCTAACTGGACAATCGGCCAAATGGACAATCGGCCAACCGGACACTCGGGGGCCAACTGGAGACAATTGATACACTTGGCCAAATGCACTCGTGTCGGGAAAACTGTCCGAGAAACAACTCCAAAGGGAACTATCATTGATCCCGGTCCCGTCCCTTGTGTCCCTCGGTGAAGCTCGTGTCGTGAAGAGAAAGTAGTCGTGAGATGTCAAGTCTAGTTTGCGAACAACACTAGTCTCTGTCGCCGACGGATGTCGTCTCGCCGTCAAGGCTGCCTTACCTGGGTTTCGTGATGACTGACTTCTAAGCTGTTATTGCGTTCCTGTCCGTCAGTCGGATCGCGAGTCCCTTGTTGTGTCGCAATACTAAACTCTGTCCCTTGTGGGGTGCCAAAATATGCGCGCTCAATCTCCGTAGTATGATTTAATATCAATAACAAATTCGTATTCACGGCAATACAAATTTCATCGGTCATGCTAGCTATTTTCATCCAAATTTTGCAGTTAAACAAGTTCATAACTTCACCAATACAGCTTCAAAAACAAATTGGCGCAAGCTAGCCACAAGAACCGGTCGGTAATGTCCTTGAGACAAATTGCTCTTTTTTAGCGGTCAGCCTTAATCAAGGCTGAACCGATTTAGAATCAAAAAACAGTTAAAATAGGATATAACCCCCTTTTTTAGTTTATTAATACTTGAGCAGGTGGGGGACTCGAACCTACGTCAACTGTTATGTTACGTTACTTTCAAAAACATTTTATAAATTGTTTATGACTTTTTAAAGAACAATTTTTAGTTTTCTGCCAATTTTTTCCCAAGGAAGCCCTAAATGAAGCTTCCTATTAAAAAAATTTTCCGGAAATAAACGACTATTTTCACTACTAAAATTCCCAGTCACTAATCTTTCCAGAATGAAGCTTCATTTTTTACTACTAAAAAATAGATTAAATCTAATTTTGAGTAAATAGGTCTTATAAGACCTACTCGGTGACTTTATAGGCTCTAAATTAGACTGAAACTTAAAAAAATCTAATTTTCTCAACATTGGAACATTTATTTCAAAATGTTTTATACTCGTTCGGATCATGACTGAAATGGCTTAAATATGATATATCACTTGAATCATCCCGATAATTGCTTGTGATTTCTGATTTTGCGTGAAAAACAAAAAAACTAAGTCATCTGAAGACGAAGTTCATGTCCATTCTCAAAAGTCGGGAAAAAAGTTACAAAAAAGCCATTTGCTTGAAAAAAGAACAGTTAATTTGCACCACAATCAATCTTTTTTTGAATTTTATAAGGAAAATTGTAGCTGTTAGCTGTTCTTTGTGTTGAGGGTTTTTTCTTTCATCAATGAATTCTGGGTGGGGTAGTGTACAATCAACAAAGCATTAATGAGAAATTGGAGACTTCTTATGAACGTTTTGAATCGGAAGCCCACATTCTTACTAACCCTTCTCTAGGAAATTCAATTTTGTTACTAAGAATTTCTTAAGCAGTCAGATAAACCTTAATTGAACTGGTGCTTGATAGAAGTTAGAGTTAGAAGTTAGACTTTCGTATTCAATTTTCGAAGCCCGGCATAGTTAACGCGCTGCTTACTTTTTTCTTCTTGACATAAAAGCTATGCCCACTTCTGCCCCTCACTTAAACCAAAACTCACCGAGAGGAGCGTTCAGGTCGAGTGATTCTCCAACAAGTCCTCGAGACAACGAGGTATTTGTCGTGGTCATGTTGGATGGGTTCGGGAGTCTTGACGAGGAATCGTTTTGAGGAGTCGCTGGTGGAACCATTGGTGGATACAAGGGTGCTTCCATTCTTCTGAGTTTCTACAGCAGATTAAAGGAACGCTGTTTTCAAATACTTTTGAAGCGGCCATTTTTTGAGGTTCTGCGAGATTGCATAATGAAAAAAACCATTACGGCTTGTAAGTTCCGATCTACTGCTAAATTTCAGGCATTTTAAATGCTTAATGCCTGATCGCATGGTCGGAAATTAAGCTATATCTATATATGGGTTTTATTGATTTATATAATAGAAGATGTCTCTTCGCCTTCGTATATTTTTGTTTGTGTTTGTGTTTGCGTTTGGTTAGTTACCCCCATGGTTGTGTGCGATCTACGCAGGGACGTCAGAGATGACTTGGGTTCACCTAGGTTCGTCTGACTTGACCTTGAGACTGGGTACTGTTTCTCAGAAGCATTCACAGGTCGACCTCTAATTCCATACAGATAAGGAGCTGAAATTGAAAAAGGAGTCTAACAACTAAAAATGCTTGTCTTTCATTACTTAGTTTTGGAGTTTTCCCAGATGTGTAATAATTTTTTTGAAATTCTTTGTTTTTTGCTTATATTTTGTGGGAAAAAAATATCAGAAACCTTGATAGAGGTGTAATAATTGATAGAGGTGTACACCTCTATCAGAAACCTTGATAGAGGTGTTCTCACCCATAGTTTGAGGCACGTATGCAGCTGGATTGTGAGGGTTTCCCTTTCTGGGGGTGGACGAAGGGGGTGCATAAAGGGGCACTGGGACGTGACTGTTCGTATTCAGATGGGCCAGAGGGGGTCTGTTTCGCAGTCTTATGGTGTCCTGTGTCACTGCACTCTTGGCACGCCCTTTTTCCTGGAAATTGCTGTAACAAAAATAAAATGTAGCACCCTGAAAATTTTTAACATTATCGCATCTTTCCCAGATTTCCAAAGACCTTCCTCTGTGATACTATTATGCGGCATTCGCCTGATGTGGCATCTTTATGAAGCTGTTCGCTGTGTTAATAAGTTAGAAACTCCGATTACGGTAGTCATTGCAAAGAAATTCTGTTTAAACTGATTAAAAATCGAATTTGTTTTTCATTTTAAACAAAAAATTAATAATAATTTTGATCAAGGGTAGATTGGGCTATTTTCCCAAATGATTTTTAGGTATTCATATTTATAAAAAATTGTGGAATTAACTGATCTCACATGACTTGCAGAGGATTGTTTAGGACGCTCTGTCTAGAAGGTGCAATGAGGACAGGTGAGTTGGTGCTTGACCTCTGTGAGGTCATCGACACGTCATGTGGCTCCGGAGTCCCGCCGGCTGATGATGCGGAGGGAAAGATTTGTTTGATCAGATCTCGGTTGCCCTAAAAAGAAACCATGGTTAAGGCGAGACGACATTTCTTCGAAAATGATTATTCGTCAAAACTTAAAGTTGGGCTAAGCAATAAATGATAGAATCTTTAAAAGCTGACAAATCGCAATGAAACAATAGATTTGATAATTTTCGCATGGAGACATGACCTTTTAATAATATTGTTTTGATAAATCAAACCCATTTTGTTTCAATCTAGAGCTGTACGATTAATTAATTTCACCGATAAAATTAAGAAATATACCTTGTAAACGCGGAACAGATCCTCGAGCTTTCTAAGTTCAATTTTCTCTTCTTTGGGGAGACTTGTGACATTTCGAGGTGCTGCAGTCCTGCATCGGGTACTTTTTGCAAACTCGTTTCGCCTGAAACAGGAGACTGGGTTAATTTTCCAAGATATCTACCGTGAGTTTTATGGTTTTCCCACACAAACATCAATGTTTTTCGGTAACTAGAACCTTTTGAGATTTAGGGGGAAGGAAGGTTTATGGATGGGGCGTATGCCTCCTCATCTCAGTGATTCGACCCCTGCCGACCCAAAGTGTCCCCCTTTGTACTATTTTGAAATATCTATTTTTTGGCTGACGAACAATAACGTATTTCTAAAAGTGTCTTCCGCGAGATTGTTGTCGATACCCGCACCAAATTTTAATAGATAATAATCGATAAAAATAGTTTTTCGAGACAAAGCATTTTGATTGTTTTTGTTCAGACCTTTAGAATTGAATATATTTTCCATCACCCAATCCACAAAGACGCATGGAAGTTTTAATTGAAACAAGACTGCTCGTATCAGGGCGAAACCCTGAATGTTCCAACTGCCTTTTAAGGTCTATGGAGCAGTAAGAACATGAAAAAAATTAATCGTAATCAAAATGAAAAAAAAAATTTTGGCAATCTTGAAACCCCCATAACTTTACGACAAATGATCACAGGTGAAACATTTTTTCTAATTGAAGTTCAAGACAACATTAATTTTTGAATGATGGGAAAAACTTCCCTCATGTGAAATAAGCTTCTTTCAGCCAATTTGGAACGATTTCTAAGACGAATTAACTCTCCGCTTACGCGTTAATAGCGCGAAATATATCGCGAGTTAATTGTCCCAAATTGGCCAAAATGGTAATCTTTAAACCCCAATAACTTTACGAAAAATGATCCCAGGTGAAATATCTTTTCAAATTTGAGCTCATGACAACAATACTTTGACGAATGTTAAAAAAAGCCGTCAAAAATGGCTAGTTAAAAAACCGAAATTTTTCGGAAAAAAAAATCCACCCAGAGCACAAATGCTCCGTTACTTTCGTTACAAAAGTCGGAACAATAAAAAACATAAAAAAATCAAGCAAGTAAAAGAGTGAAATGAACGAACAAACAAGTAAGCAACTCAGAAAAAGATAAACAAAATGATTTATATACACCATTTTAATCGACTAAAATCAATTTGTCTCGAACGTTTAACCTTATGATCCATTATCTTGTTTTACAGAAAAAAAAGAGTTATCTCGACAAGTACATGGTCAATTCTTTTAAATATCTGCACACATGCCTAGCAGGCCAAGACACGTTGTAGTGAGCATTAATTATTTGTTCAGTCTGGGAAAAATCGGCTGCGTTTTTTCACTAAACAAGCATTTAACAAAAAAAAATTGTCACAGAAAATTTAGAAACCAGATAAATTAAAATATACAAATTGCAGGCGTTTTTCACAGTCGGTTTTATACTCCAGCTGCACGTCCCTCAAATTGTTCAGTTTTCGACTGGTGCTTTTTTGATATTTTTTGTAAATCTTACTCACCCGAGTTCTGTTGGGGGGACAATTCGGAAACTTATGAGCAAATTGACGACTAGTCTCAGTTGTTCGTTTTGTACTGGCAAATGTTGAAGCAATAAGACTGCTCGTAGATCAGGGCAAAGCCGATCAGGGCAAAGCCGACTGCACCTCAATCCATATCGAATAGTTTTTGGGAAAATATTATATTCAAAAACTATGAATTTTGGACTGTAACAAACATCCAGTGTAAAAACTTGAGTCATACAAACCTTGCACGCATGTTTAGCTAGCCTCAATTCAGTTTGGAACGAATTTGTTGAGTGAGATATTTCGCCACGCATAAATGACTCTCGTTATGCTTTAAATATTATGGATAAAATCTACAAAGGGGCGCATAAATTAGTCTAAAGCATGGCCAAATTGGCACCCAAACGCCCAAAACTTTGCTTAAAAAAGATCGGAGGTAAATTTTTTCCAATTGATTTTCCGGAGTCGATATCTTCAATTGGGCATATTTTTTTTGTTGAAAACTATTATTTCGATTGCCGAAAATTGACTGCATAAAAAATCACACCAAGCATAGATATTCCATTTTCTTGGAAAGTCGGAACAAAAAAGGTTCGCCGCTTGATTGCTATCTGCATTTTTACGAGTAAGAAGCATGAACAATCTTGTTAGAAATTGCAATAATTTTTTGATGAGGCGTGATTCAGCGTTATCGTTTTCAGAAGTTATGTGCCTTCGGCTGCTAAACATGTGTTGCAAATTTCATTAAAATTGATGCGGTAATTAAAACTTAGTTTCAGTTTGGATCTTTTTTTGGACACCCTATAACTTAACTTGATTATAAAATCACAACGCAATTAACTAATTATCATGGGTTTTTGGCGCGGAAACAAAAAAAAATAATTTTAGGACGCATAATTTGATCAAAATCTAAAAACAATCGGACAACGCTAGTTTTATTGATTCACTTGTGAAAGTGGGGTTGAAGGTCGGAAAAGAGCAAAGAAATCAACTTTCTAAATTGAAAGGTCTGTCGTGATATGCACTTTATATTGAAAAGAGTTTTTTCGCGATAGAAACTGCAAAAAAAAATGTGCCCAACCAAGCTTTCAGAGAAAACAATGTTTTTTTTTGTGTGTTAGAAAGAAAAAATACTTGATAAAAATCGAAACGAAGTAAAAGTAAAAGTGTGCTGAAAAGTAAAAAAACACAATGTCTGAAACAACGTCTGAAATGTAACAATGTCTGACGTTACATTTCGATAATTTTTATTGTCCTCATCTTATGTAATTGCTTAGATGTAGATGAAGACATAATCATGGAAAAAACGGCATAAGTATTCATTACCTGATCTGCTTGTTGAGTTCTGCGAGGGAAGGGGAGCTTCTGAGGAACTGCATGTGTTTCGCATTCCGACCCACCTGAGAAGAGCCTACTTTGGGTCTGCTGTAGGGGTGCTAAAACAAACAACCAGATATAGATGACAATAAAAAGAATTCATTTCCTGGATTTTGTACCTGTATTAACACAAAATACCCATCAGGTGGGTCTAAGTTTTTCTCGAAGAGGGACGGTGTCGTGGGTGATAGATGTTATCTGCGGTATATATTCCTTGATAGCCACATAAAAAGTTTCAAATATAGCCAAAAAACAGTTGGACAAGAATCAATGGACGCAAGTAAACAAAAAAATTTTGACTTTTTTTGGAAAAAATCTCAACTTTCGAATTTTAAAGGAAAAAAATGCAATTATTGCCCTTCGAATTTCCAGAATAGTTTGTGATGACATTTTAAAACTAAATTGACTCAATTTGAGAAGACTGGATGAGAAAGTTTTTTTTTGAGCTGGGAAATCTCAAACTAAATTCCACGTTCGAAACTAGAAGTCGATCGCGTTTTATTGCGAACTTTACACTTTCGCAGTTGGATAGTAGAGTCTTCCTTTTAACAATGGAAATAAACTGAACTGCTTAAATAAATACAAAATTCAAACCGCGAAAAGTTAAATTTGGGCCTTGTCGTGAGACGACCTTCGGTACCTCGTAAGTTATTTGTTCTTTTGCAGTCATACTGCAAAGTGATACTAATTATATTAACCAAGGTCATTGTTCTAACCTCTATCAATACCACGCGAAACTAAGCAACAATTCAAACTAACAAAGTATCTAACCCTAAAACAATTTACTTATTGTTCAGCCACAAAGTTTTCATTCTAAAACTTCGGTTAATCTCATGGCGCAGTCAGCAGTTCCTGTGAACGAAGACAGGACTGACCTGTTAGGCATTCCTCCCTTTTGGGCGAAAGCCTCTATTAACCCACCATTCCTGTGGGAATCTTGGATCGGTCAATTTTTTTTGGCCGCTGGTTTGAAAGATAATATCAATCCTCATGATCTGTTAGTTGAACCCACCGAGGTCATCGATGAACCTCCTCCAAGACCGGAGTCAGTCGCTGAGGGCGAAGATGCTGGAGCAGCTAATGCCCGCAGACAGAGAGATCAAGCGGCGATCCGGAGAATTACCGAACAAAACGTGGAGAGGAGGAGAAAAGGCCCTCGGATCAGTCAGAATTGGTTCTATCATGAAGCCGAAGCTCGTATGAAATCTAGCTTGTTCTTTGCTCTGGGAAATGAAGGGAGGAGACAATTTGCTGACTCATTTCCTCACACGGACAATAGTAATATTCCTTTTCGAGAATTTCACACTGGATGTGAAACGCTGTTCAAGGTTGAGCGAGAGTTTACGGTGGAGCGTATCAAATTGTATAACACGGTTTTCATGCTTGAAAATGACACTTTCTCGTCAGTTTACGCTCGCTTGAGCGCCCAAGTGGCTTTGTGTAATTGGCCTAATGATCAAGAAAAGGAGACTTTAAAAGACCTCTTTATTGGGCGGATTCGAGACTTTGAGGTTCAACAACAACTCATCAAGGCGAAAGCTGATCTAGATGGCACTTTAAAGCTCGCGCTCGAGTGCGAGAAGGGAGCAAGTACGTCGGCTCAGTTTCTAAAACTACTCCCTCATAATCAACATCCGGTATTAAGGTTAAACAAGAACCTACTTGCTCTATTCAGTCGTCGATAGGGAAGCGGAATTATCCTCAAAATCAAAATAATTGACAGACGTCACAAAACAGTCAAATAAGTAAATCATGTTACTTCTGTGGTAATCCTGATAGCCCGGAGCACCGAAAATCTTGTCCAGCTCGGGACGTAACATGTAATGTCTGTCGGAAACGAGGTCATTTTGCGGAATGTTGTAACTCGTCGAAACGACGTGTCAATCTGGTGCAGCAAAATGAGGACGTGGCAGGTCCCTCTGTGGATTGCAATTTCATAGATGTAGACCAGGACAGTGCGCCTGAATATGGGGTGTTACAGCTGGAATCCGATGTCATGATAAAGCGTAGAAACTCTTAAGTCAAGTGAAGGACAACCTCGGAGCCTCAGTATCCAGTTACGCTCTGGTTTCAGTTTTTTCTATTCGACAGTAGACACAGGAAGCCCAGTTTCGTTCCTGAATAAACGCACCTGTGATTTACTCTTGCAAAGAAATCCATCAATTGAGTTTCGCAATATCACACGTTACCCTATCGATACCTTGTATGTTGACTATAACAAGAAGCCCATTCGCCTCCTGGGGTCGATTCAAAACACGATTTCCTCTAGTGGCTGGAGGGTGGCTAACGCTCAATTCCTCATCTCGGAGAATAGAACTCGTAATCTTCTCGGTTTGGACTTGCAGAGGAAACTGGGCCTTGTAACTACACAATTGAAGGCGGAAACAATCCAGTCGGTAGATAATAGCTCTTCGGATCCGATTTCAGAATACTGGTGTTCTTTTTTCGCAAAGAAGTACGCTCATATGTTCAGTCGTTTGGGTCGATCAAAAAGTCATAAAGTATACACTAATATTAAGTTCCCATTGGTGCCACGTCAAATTAAAGGAAGAAAAATTCCTATTCATATTCAGGATAAGGGGTGGCGAGTGAGATAAAACTTTTGGTGGAGCAAGGACATATCGAAAAGTTAGACAAGTGTACGACTGATTTCTTCATTGCGCACCGATTGTACTAACTGCAAAAAAGTATGAATCTATCAAACTGGCCCTCAATGCTGAACATTTGAATGCTCAGATCTAGAAAAATAAGTACCAGATGCCGAATATTCACGAGCTTATTGATTCCGCGGCACACGTCATAACTCGAAATGTTCCTGGTAAGGTTTGGTTCATGTCCTTGGATCTAAAGTATGCGTTTAGTCAGTTACCACTGTCATCACTCACTAGCAGCCACTGTAACTTCAATATTTTGTGTGGTGAGGCGACTGGAACGTACCGCTTCAGGACCGGGTTTCATGGACTGACCGACATGCCCACCGAGTTCCAGAAGGCAATGGATTGTACCTTGCAAGGGCTGGAAGGAGTTATTTGTTACCTCGACGACATTTTGATTGTCACTAAAGGAGATATCCAAGAAGATAACGATTTGGTCGAGAGAGTTATGCAAAGGCTTGATGCGGAAGGATGGGCCCTCAAACTGAGTAAGTGCGAATTCTCTGTTAACCAACTAACTTGGCTAGGGTATGACATTAATGAAAATGGGTACTCTCCAAAATTTTCAAAGATCGAGGCAATTCAATCGCTTAAACCACCGCGAACTCTAAAACAACTTCGGTCATTCATGGGAACGTTAAACCATTTATCCCCGATTTGCGTACTCATACTGTCTATTTCCGGGCCTCATTGAAGGCTTGTAATAAACAATCGTTCCTATGGGGTGAGGATCAAAATAAAGCCTTTCACGATATAATCAAGTTGATTGCAAAAATTCCGAGTCCGTATCACTTCGATTCATTGAAGGGATCGAGAGTAAAATGCGACGCGAGTCATAATGGCTTAGGTGCTTGCCTCGAACAGGAAGTTGAACCGGGAATTTGGGCCCCAACTGCTTTTGCTTTGCGTTTCCTTAATAATGCGGAGGTTAAATATAGCACTAACAAACTGGAGTTATTGGCTATTGTCTGGGCTTCCGAACATTTCCGTACTTATTTGTTAGGTACGCGCTTTCAAGTGATAACCGATCATAAGGCTATCATATCGGCCTTAAAGGAAAATTATCATAATAAGTCATATCAGTCTCGTCTTGCTCGTTGGGCTGATCGTCTGCTACCTTTTGATTTTGAGGTTATTCACGTCCCAGGGGTCATGCTGGGGATCGTCGATTACTTATCACGTTATCCTACATTTCTAGCCCCTCAACCCTCTAAATACGATGAACTGTTTGTCGTTAAGTCAATTGAGGCATTCCATCAGGCCCTCTCGTTTATTAATTCTTATAATTCCTCTCCGTGGTATCAAAATTGTTTAACACCGCAAGACGGCATCCAATTTTTGTCTCAGTTTAATAGCGCTTGTTATTTTTGTTATTTCCGTCACTCGCCGGTTGGGGGCGATGTTAATGTCCCTCAATGTTTCAATCAATCATGTTGCGGTATGCAAATGGATTGCTTGCGTTGTTTGTCACAAGAGGGCGTCGATTTATGCGCTCACGAATTCAACCAATCAGGGATCGGTATGCTAATTGATTGTTGCAAACCAGTTGACGTTTCAAAAAATCATTGTCTCCGACCTGAATCTTTAGTAAACAGTCAATTTATACAAACTATTTTCTTAAAAAATCAAATCAACATGACAACACCGCAAAATAATAACAAAACTCATACTGACTCAAACACTACCATCGCTCAACCGGACTCTATGACCATACTACAACCAACTACTGAGCAGGCAGAGTTACAAACGTTTGTGGAAACTTTTCCAGTCAGCTCTCCCAACTTTCGTCGACCTAGTGCGAGGCCGCAAATACGATCTCGTCAACTCAACCGCGTGTCCCGACTGCATCAGATTCGACAACGCATCAGAACACGGGAACAAGCCGCTAAAACCTGCTTTGTCGCCACAAGATCTACTACTAGAAAGGATGGTCATTCGCAACTACTAGAGGCAATGAGACGATGTCGCCTGTCAAAGCCAGGAAGAAACAACATGGCCGCGAAGATTGGGGTCTTAGCGGTAAATGGGGGTAAACCTCTCCTCTCCTCGTCCAAAAAGGAAATTGTGGGCTTGCCTGGGCTCTTTGATGCAGACCTGTTGGCAGAATTGACGACGGAGGATCGTTTTCTTGGCCCCATGAAGCGAGCCATCATAAATAAAGTCATCACCTCCTTCAACAAGCTTGGTGCGTATATGGCCCAGTTTTGGTCTACAGCAGCGGTGGTTAATAACTGTGTAGTTGTTGACAATAAATTGGCCATTCCTGAACCTCTCCGACAAGCCGTGCTCACTCGCCTTCACAGATCCCACCCCGGACAAGAGGCCATGATGACTGCCTCCGAATACCTCTGGTGGCCGTTTATGAACCGTCAAATCATCGAGACGTGTGAGAAGTGTCGTGAATGCACCCTGTTTGGTGAGAATCTTAAGCCCGCGTCAAGTTTTAATACTGCGAAATCTCTGCCCGTACCATCCGGACCTAATCAGGAGTTACAATTAGATTTTGCTGGCCCGTTACTTGATGAAAAGGGGTCTAGGATCTTTCTTTTAGTAGCAATTGATCGGTTCTCTAAGTTTCCTTCAGTTCTGATTTTTAAAACCACTGGGGCTAAGAAGGTTACGAAATACCTCGATTCCTATATTCGTATTCACGATCTCCCTCATTCTATTAGAACGGATCATGGCTCAGGGTTTAAGAATAGTTTAGTGCAAGAATTCTGCTCTAATAGAGGTATTAAACATATCCTCTCACCGGTCGGAGATCATCGCGGCAGTGGGCTGGTCGAACGATTGATTCAGACAATCAAGAGAAAACTGGGTGTGGCGAAACTCGATCCTAATTTCAAAAATCTTAAGGATACGATTCATCAAATACTTGAAGATATTCGCAAGAGTAATCATTCGTTGCTTAAGAAATCGCCTTTTGAATTGCATTTTGGTCGTAAACCTAATACTGTATGGTCTCAGGCACGTAATAATGTTGTTCAATCTGACACTTTAGCCCAAGGATTGGAGCGCAACCTCCTTACACCAGACCAAATCGCCAGCAACGACTACAGTAGGGACAGGGCAAAAGTTGTTCCTCGCGGCAGTTCCAGTCCAACACTTCCTACCCGCTTCAAACCCTTGTTTTCGTTGGACGGAAATGTGGCAGACAGTGAACCCTACAAGGCGCTGGCGGATCTTGCTCGGGCGGCAAATAGATGGTCGCAATTCAGGCGTAATCTTCCGCCAGATGGAGGGAAATTGGTATTCAAGGAACTCGCAACCCGACATTCGGACCTCGCCCATTCTCTCAAGTCCGGTCTCAACAGCAATACCCTTCGCTTCTCGGCAATTGCCTCACCTCCGGGGACGCAAGTCATCTCCAGGCGTGCACCAGTTGTGCAACCTACTCGTCTCTTGAGAACAAGTAAATTAGAAAACCTTCTACTGTCTGATCCTGGTCGAGTTAAAGTCTTTAGGAAAGTTATTGATCGTCAATCGGAGAAACCTCTGTGAAAACTAACCAAGTTTAAGATTGTTCGTGTTACCGATCATACTTATATTACCGACAATGGGAAGTCTACCGGAAAAATCATATCTGTCTCAAACCTAATTATCGATCTACCGTTTTAGTTGCTCCGAACACTATAGGTGATCGCGTCCAAGCTTCAGGTTCAACTTCTCGAGGAGCGGCTAAACGACCTGTCACGCCGCCGCAGCTTGTGTTACTGGAACAACGGCCAAACAATCCCCCTCTCTCTACCCCGATGGTGAATCTCACTGCAGACTTTTCCAGTGAAAGTTCTTTTGGATCAAACAACGGTCGTCAGGTGGCCCGAGATTCGGTTACTACCGGAAAACCCCAGAGGTTTCAGTGTGACTCGCCTCCGGTTCGATTTGCTCGTCAGTTTGCCTCGACGTCGACGCCCCATTCCTCCACTCATGCTACTTACTCGCGCAATATCGGTTCTACTCGATAACCAGATGGGTCGTTCGTTTCGCCTCAACCGAGGATCTTACATCGCGCGGTTTCTTCCTCGTTTATTTATCCTGCGGAGCCTCCTGAAGTTAGTACATCTAGTCCTGAAATTATGGTTTCGTCACCGGAAAAGGAGGTGTCAAAAGATTTGAATCCCCCCTCTCATTCAGCGTCCACAGAGCTGCCTTCCTCTTACCCTTCACTTTTTCTACCTGCACAACCAGTGGTTGACGATGCCGAGTCGGTCAGGACGTCTTACCGTAGCAAAAAGCCAACTCAGTTTTTCGGCAATCCGTTGCGGCATTCGGTAAAATTAGTAGAAGAGGATCAAATTTTGCCCTCTGCAACGACACTAACTTCACCTCCTATATCAGTCATGGAGGAACAGATTATACCCTCAGTTGCGCCGACCGTGTCCACCTCATCACCACGGAAACAACTTATTCGCGATCGTTTTCCGTTTCAACCTTCAACTCAGTCGTCGTCTTCTCTCGCTCAAAGGAAGGAAACCACTGGCACAGATTGACCATATCGCCAGGGAAAAACTATTAAAAACTTGTTAAAACTATTCAAACTTTAGCTAAGATATCACTTTGCTTTACTGTACGCAATTGTGTGGGATAGGGGGGCTATCAATCATTTGCTCGTCCGGGTGCAGTTTATTTCTCTCTAATTTTGATGTTTTCAAAATTTTTTCCCCGCGGGGAATGTCGTGAGGCGACCTTCGGCATCTCGTAAGTTATTTGTTCTTTTGCAGTCATACTGCAAAGTGATACTATCTATATTAACCAGGGTCATTGTTCTAACCTCTATCAATACCACGCTGAGCGTGTTCATTCTTTATCTGTTATCGCTACTGTTTGCTAGTAAATCTGATTCTACATAAACTCATGATCTATCGGGATAAATTTCCTAAACCAAGATTATATTCGAAACTAAGCAACAAAGTAATTCAAACTAACAAAGTATCTAACCCTAAAACAATTTACTTATTGTTCAGCAACAAAGTTTTCAATCTAAAACTTCGGTTAATCTCAGGCCTAAATAAATTTGAAGACTTTTCATGGAAAAAAAACGGAAAAAAATCATCGCGACTTATTTGAGAGTCTGAACTACGTTCGCCGACTCTTAAAAGCAGGGCAAAATTTTCCATCACAATGTTTAGAGCAAATCCAAATTAGTCGGCGATGTTTTTGTTTCATCTCTTCTCCGGTCTGTTTGAAAACTTGTTACAAATGTGATAGAGAGGTTCCGGTAAAAACCAACTGTGAGAGAGGGGTCCCAAATTACAAAAATTTTAGGCAAATACTGCAATTGACAGGCTGAAAAAGCGCCGGTCTCGTTTTAAAACTTTATCTCTAGCGTAATTAACCTGCCTCATTCGCGAAAACCTATTCGATACTTTAATTGATATCACCGAAGAACTATAAAGAACAGTTTAAGTTAGCAAACCTGTTAGTTTCTTGGTACCCCTCTATCACATTTGTACCAACAATTGTAAACAAAATTCACATTGAAAGCTTTCCAGTCTTGACTTGGGTTCTTGAAAAATCAAAAAGATTCTTAGTGTCGAGAAAAATTGGTGTCGATAAAAACAATGAAACGGCATTTAATTTTGGCAGGGAGCTTGTGGTCATATAGTTATCATAAAGTGAACCCCGATGAAGCCGTAAGTGTTCATAAAAAACTGGAAAAAAATGATTTTTGCAGTTACAAGAGGAATCTTTGTAGAAAATATTTAACAAACCTTAATATTACAGGATTAAACAATCGCGTGCGGAATCCAATGGATTGATAACACAATTCTATGCGTCTGTAAAAACCACACTGGGGTCTTCTAATTAAATTTCTTTAGTTACTCACTTGAATAGGCTGGGGAATGAAACCAGCTCTCGGTATGGCCTTTTCAAACTCCGTTTTGATCTGAAATGTTACCAACTTGAACCCATAAAAAAAGAGCAAGAGAAGACCGTTTCTTCTTTTTAAATCTACCTTTTCCCCCGTTTTATATTGCTGCTTATGTATTTAGCCAGCTTCATTTCATACCCCGTACTTTTAGATAAATCAGTAGATAAATCATTTTTTTTATTTATCTACTTTTTTGCTATACCTTCTGTTCTGAGTTCTCTCTTAGCGCACATCAATAACCAATTTACTTTTTAGGATAAAGGTAAAAGTCAACGACCATACGACACTGATTTATCAGGTGTGAGTCTCGATATGAATTGTTTCACGGAATTATATCATTCTTGCCAAAAAAGCAAAAAAATAGGATTGTAAAAAATGAGGTTAAAATTATCTGGGTAAAAAACAGGGATCAAAAAAGGGTAAAAACACTGAAGAGCAGGGGCGGATCTAGGATTTTCTCGAGGGGGGGGGGGGGGCGGATTTTCAAAAATTTCAAAACCTTTCTTTTTAGGTCGACCAAGTTGATTTTTTGAGCTCTCCCAAAGCACTGTTTTCCCCCTATTTAGGGGTAAATTTTCAGAGCAGGCAAATTTTTGAAAAAACAGTCAAAACAGCCGCTTTTGGGCACTTTTTTAAAAATTTTGACCAACAAAATAGCGTATTTTGGCGCGCGCTCTCCCCTCAAAGTAAGTATATATTGGCGCCAAAGGCGCCTTTAGAAAAATTTTAGGGTCGGTCGGCCAAAAATATGGATTTCTTAAAAAGTATCAAAGGGGGACCCTTTGGGTCAGCAGGGGGTCGACTCCCTGAGGGGGGGGGGGGGGGAGGGAGAAGAGTGAGCGAATTTGGGCGAATGCTGTCTTCAATTTTCCAACACAATTTACAGGAAGCTTTTTTTCCAAGATCTCAATTTTCTGGCTGTTTTCATTATTTTTAGGTCAATTAAATTTTCATAAATCGGAATTTTAGTCCAATTGACTGCGAGAAAAAGACTAATTGTATTCAAAATATATCCAAATTTAAAAGTTTAACGTTTTATATAATCAATCATTTTCTTTTGAAAAAACGATCTGATAGTCTGAGAGATCACTGCTGGATAAACTTGTCTGTTTTTAAACTTTTCTGCGCAAAAATGGCTTCAATTTTCTGTTTATTTCTTTAGTAAAGAGATTTTGTTCGAATGAGGTAAGAGTTGAAATGACTCACGTATTGTGTTTCAGATTCCTTAAGGGCCGAAGTGTTGCGTGACCGTTGGGTAATGATGAGGTCAGAGTTTGACCTTGGAAATTGCACACGGTGAACTAATAAAGCCTGAAAACGAAAGCCTTGATTAGTTCGTGCCAACCTGTAGCAGCACCTTATAACGGAAAAAGACAGCTAATAACGCCTCAACGAAGTGGGTTTGTTGTTGATCCAGAAATTAGTGTTTTGAGACGCGCCGTGATGCGTGCTAGTTGCAAGGGGTAGGGGCAAGCTTAAGAACAAAAAGATAGGTATCTTCACCAAAGAAACAACCTGGATTATTTGTTAAGAGCCAAAAATTGGCTCTTATCCTTGAAGGTTCCTTTTTTAGAGAAAACAAATCATTTCAATTTCGTATTTTGTGGATGAGAAATGAACTTCCCATTTTTTTCTTCTGTAAAATAATCACAATAAACAAACTTACGATTCTGATGGGTTCTTCGTCGCTTTTAGCTGAAGATATCTTAGAGTCGCCGAACGGAATTTTACGATCCACACTGATATTATTGATGTACATTTGGTTCGATTTTTTTTTATTTCGAAAATTAACTCGTAAATATCTATTTATACACTCTTTAAATTAATAAGAAGAAAATCTCTTATATTGAACGATATAACATCAGAATCAGCTTTTTAAACCATTTTCTTAAAGAAAAGATATCATCCAAAGATTTTGTAGACAAAACGGCAGCTACAAAGACAAATTGGAAAACGATCGTGCATTTTTATTGCAGTTTTATGATTCTTACTTTTGATCCCAAAACAATGGAATCAACATCGCGTGAACCAATTATGATTCATCGTTTGATTGACCTGAGAAAACAAAGAGTGGGAAAGTAAAAGAAAAACATGGATCTTACCATTTCAAAGCATCTGACGAGGGCTTGCAATACTTGATGATTTCATTTCAATGAAACTATGACGTAAAATATGATATGTAACACATTTAAAAAAGTAGCATAACATAATAACTTTATACCATAATTTTGCGTTGTAGTCATTAAGTTGAAAACTTTTTTGAATTGCATATAATGAATAGCCAATCTTTAATGGCCGAATCAACGTGCATGTTTTACGGGAGTTGAAAATAAAGTTACATGTGGTTTTGTAATCATTGGAGCTTCAAATTCTAATCAAACACAGTAGTAAAAACTGTTTTTAATATGAAAGGCACCTGATTGAGAACTTCAAGTACCACTTCTAAGTTAAATCAAACGGTTTTATAGCTTTTGTGCTGACTGTTTGAAGTTTTTGAAGAAAATCATTTGAGCGGAGTAATTTTTCGAGATCTTTCAAATGCTCCCGAGTGTGTTAATCTGATCGAGAGTTTGAAAATAGTTCAAGAAAGAATATAAAAACTCAAGGAAGCTCATATTCACAAAAGCTTCGTGAAGAATGGTTGTCTTCGAAAAAAAACGGATTATTCAAAATTGATTTCCGATACGGATTAGGAATACATATGGCGTGCAAGGATTTTTCATTCTTCTGACAGCGCAGTTATCTTTAAAGTCAGAAACATTTCGTTGGCTCGGTTCGGAACAAAAAACGAGAATTGACCACCGCCCACATTTTCTTCTAATGTTTGTTTGAAGGTATGTCATGTCGCTCAAATGCTGACTATTAGCATGTATAACTAAAAAAATTATTGTTCCGATCAGTAAAAATGGGGAAGTATTTTGTATTTGGGTGTGGAGTAGCAAATTTGAAGGAAGAGGCGGAGATGTGGCCCTGACGCTGACGCTTTTCTACTCCCCCCTGCCCAATATTGCTTTTCTACTCCCCCCTGCCCAATATTGGTCCTAACATATTCTTTGTATAATCTGAGCAAATCACGCCTCTTCACTTGATCAAATCAAGCCTCTTCTTTTCACTAGATTTGGAAGATAAGAAATGTTTTATTGATTACTCCAGCTTCTACAGATTTTAAAAGTTTTTGGACACTGCGAAATACTTTTTATGAAAGAAAAGAACCATATAGTCAACAGAATGCAACTATTCTCCATCCAAATTAAAAAGAACCATATAAAATAAGGATTGCTGTTTTACCTTTTCACTGAAACCTATATTAAAGAGAGCCTCAAGTCCTATTTTATACGCCTATTGCGCCAAGCAGCCCAAAATGAATTATTGTCAGTCTCGATCGAGAAAGAAGGTGTCACTTTCTTGATTGCGAAAACGAGTTCCGAAGACAATGCAAAAAACCGTGCAATTGTCCAAAAAATTCCGCGGAAGATCGAAGATCAGCATTAGTCAAAGAAAAGAGTAATGAAACCGCACAAATGGTCTTTCAAACACAAATGGTTTTTTTTTTCATTTTCCCATTCCTTCATCGAGCAATCTTTTGAAAATCTGTCAGTCTTATCATTCGAAGAAAGAGCAGCGAGCAGAACCGTTAGTCAAGGGCATAAAAAACGAACAAACGATCCGCTAGCCAAAAGCAACAAATCATGAGAAAATTGTGGAAGCGAGTTCTCCGAAAGCATCCTTCGGTACGCCACAAAGTGAATCTAATTTCGCTGTTTTGATGGTAGCAAAATTGTTTGAGTTTGACACACAGATCTAATCGACACAAATCTTGAATGACCAGATCCGAAAACAGTCAAGAACACCAATCTTGTGGGAAAACCAAATGCCTTCAAGTTAGGTTGATAGCAAGTTTATCATTTTTCAAAGCTCTGTTAGACAACACCAGGCCGTCTTTGTTTATTAAAGTTTGCACAGCCGGTAGATTGCTTAAATTCAAAAAGTCAATTCTTTTCCCATCTCTGAATCATCAATAGACAGGATTTGAGTGAATTTTAACCGTAAGCTGATTTTTCTCCACGGCACTCGACTAGTTGATAGCTCGTCTCTAGGCAATTCGGTTACGGAAGCTATGTTCATAGTTACGGGAATCGCATCAGATGTCTCCTTGGTCTAGATTTTCAACCACTTTTAGGTGACCAAGCTGCTCAGATACGACCAAAACTGGGATCGAAATCAAAATTTATGACTCCATGTATCCAAGAATAATCCACACCTTTTTTGTGGTCTTCAGCTGCATGTGGTCGTCAACTGCATGTGGTCTTCAGGGACTCTTGTATAACCCTACTTAGGAGAAAAACGTTGCCTACCTAGTCATATCCAATAAAAATTGAGAGGAGAGATGACATTACGGATACAATGGGGCCATGTTGATGCGTTAAAAATGCATTAGCATTCTCTTTGAAGCTTGAGTAGTGTTCAGATCCAAAAGAGATAGCTCTCTGGAAATTGCGACAGTTCCCATTTCATGAACGCCAGTTTCTTATAGGAAGAAAAAATATTAAGTCTAATGTCACTCCAAAGGCTCAGCGCGAAAGAAAAAGAAATTTACGCTTTTTGTGGCAATACGAACATGTTGATACTACTGAATCGGTCACTCTTTCGCGCAAAAAAAAGTTCCTTCAGGGGCGGTTCTATATAATCCTGAGTGTTTGGTTTTTTGGGGCAACCAAACACTTCAGACCAAACACTCGAAAAAAAAAATTTCGAGCTCTCCGATGCCGCAAAAGACCTATTTTACCAAAAAAAATGCGTTTTCTTGCCGTGCTGCCCCTCCTCAAAAAATAGTTTGTTTCTGATGAAATCGAATTCCTGAGGAAAGAAGGGGTCGTCCTAATCCTGCATTCTAATTTCGTCCTAGATACCGTGAATGGAAATCAGACGACGTTAACATATATAACGTATCAAAACACTTCAGCTGTGATATGAGCAACAATGAGAGCTTCCAAAAAAGATTACCAGTGGCACAGAAAAAGAATTCGAAATGTTTTGGTCTTCGAAAGCAATTTTTGACGAATAAAGCACAGTTCTTTTGACGAATAGATGAAGAATACATGTTTTAAAAAAATTTACAAAAAAAACAAGTTTGCTGCCAGGTGAAGCACAACTCCATAAAAAAAATTTTCTTATAAAATGATATGCTAACAAAAAGCAGTTTTTATAATACCACTCCCTAATGGATTTTATACCACCAATGAGCTTTGAAAGAACATTTTGAACAACAAGTTTGTTCTATAAATTATTTCGAGCTAGAGGTTTGCTGCCCTCAGCTTTCTATTCTGACATCATTGATTTTTTAAAATTTCAAAAGAAAGAAAACGTATAGACTTTGTTTAAAATTTTTGTGACATCTGATTCACGGCCAAGTTTGTCCAAATTTGATAAAAAAACAAACTTGAGCTTTCACGAGTTTTGTTTGAGATTTATCAAATTCGCCGAAAAAACCATCCGTTGTGCTATAGTTCCAAACAGCCACTTCCACTGCAAACAGCAGATGCAACAGTGTTTTTGTGTAGTTGTTGCGTGTGATAGCTTAAAGATATAAATGGTCAACATAAAATTTGGCTGGCACTTCCGTTGAAAAAATTTGGAAGGAATGATTTCGTGTTTTGGTCAATACCGGATGATTCAAATAAATTGTTTTCAGTATGCTGCAAACAGTAGCGTGGGTAGACATGTTCCAAAGGGGGCGGTTTCACGTTTCTACAAAAACCGTAAATGTCAGTTCTTTCTTGAAGCCAACTCGCTTGATGATTTCATCAAGGTCAAAAATTTCTTCTTTATGGATATACAAAAAAGAGCCAGCGATGATAGCCGGTTTTCACTCATGGTTGATCTCAAGTATGCTTTGAAAAAATTTAACTCAGAAAAATATCGCTCGGCCGTGCAGACAGTGATCGGGAAGCTGGCATAATTTTGTATCAGGGCGTACATCGTGGGCATTAGAGTTTTTGAGCATTGGCCTATGGTTTTTTAAAGCTCTGATTCAAAATTTAGGCCCGGAAGCATTTCGGAACAAAGAGCTAGGGTTTGTTCAAGGTCTTTCACTTCAACAGAGCTTGTAGCTAGGTAAGATGGAAAAAGTTTAATGAGATGCACTGCTTGTAGGGTTGCATCAGCAGAACCCACCTTCAAGTCTTATATTAGAAAAACAAGAAACGGCAAATACAGTTTTTGCCGATAAAAGGCCTCTGCTGACGGATGACCGTTTTTCTGCTCGTCGTCGTCTGAGATCCAGCTCAACTGGACCAACTCTTTTACATTTCATATGACACTGATGAAAGAAACTGAACCAAAACATTCTCGGAACTGAAGACTGCCCATAAAATTGAAGCACTTTTGTGTTTTGAGAAATGGTACTTGCAAGGCAACACTTGAGGTCCTTGCTTCTCCAAGAACATAGTTCAGAGTGTGCATGGACACCAAAAACTCTGTGTGAGTTAGAGATGACAGAAAATTTAATCCGAAGCAGAATGGTCACCTGGCCAATGACTGATCTCGTCTATTGTCTGAGTAACTCTCTAGACCCACCGAGTGTAAATAAGCTTCAGTATAACTGTCTTCTCACTGTTTGGTAACAGCCTTCTGAATCTGTTATAGAAGCAGTTAGATCGTTTTGCTGAGCATCCCAGAAAAGTTTTGCTTCAGAGTGGTTTTCGTCATCAGACTGAAGAAATTGGCAGTGGGAAAAACTTTTTTCAGCCTGTGAACTTAGAGCTAAGCAGGCCGACTGTAAATGGGACAGAGAGGCTCTTCTGCTCTGTATGAAGGTCTTTCTTTGGGTAAGGTTCCGGGTGAGGTTCCGGAGAGGGAGGTTTTTGCTTTCTTCTGGAAGAATGACCGCATTTTCTTCCCAGGTGTGATGGTCGTTTTGGCATTT